GGGTTGAGGAACTGGGTAAACGACGTAACATTAGCTGGTATGCTAATAATATCTATACAAGGGTTAAGTAAGCTTCAGGTCTCAAAACAAGCGTCAAATTTGATCTTCCTGCCAAGACCGAAATCACTTCTTGGCCAAAACCAAGCATTATACATACGTCAAACCTCACACCAAGACTATGACTGATACAAGCATTGGGTCAAAAAGCGCATCAAACTCAAACCACTTTATTCACACTCGTTTGGTAGCCAAACTTAATATATCTGTCTAGTAAATGTACCACACTGCGGCAAAATAATTGGCCAATGGGATAGTTGGTTCGTCGGTGATTTGTGGACAATGAAAATAAGTGAAATGTACCGTACCAACAGTTGGCATCTGTGGTGAACCAGTACAGGCGCTTTGCTGTTCGACCCCTGTTCGATTCCCTAGTGGGGAGACAGTTTTTCTCCAGTATCTAGGTCTTTCTGTTGGAATGTTGCTGTATCCCTCTCAGCCGGGTTGGCTCTGACAGGCAGAGTCGGGAGCCTCCTCCTAAATGATCTAAACTGTGTCGACGGCGGCTAAACGTGAAAATTTGAGTTAATAAAGTGGCTTTCCAAGGTCGCAACGTCAGACCCAGCTGAGCTTCCAAGCCCTGAATCCGAAATCTCACCATTACGGGTGCATTCGCTTAACAACTAAACTACCAACCCCACCAGAAAGCTTCTTTTGTAGCAGCATACAATAACAGAACCGCGTGAAAGGTACTGCGTGCATTTTGAAAACATTTCTGCTTCGACTTTTAAAAGTCTAATAGCACTCAATCCCCTCCCTCCTCAAAGAAGGCAAACGGTTCGACCGGAGTCGACCACACAATTAAAACTATGTTTAGTACGCTTCATTCAGCAAGAAATATTAATTGAGATATCATACTACGGCATGTCAAAATAATATTTTCCTGAAATATCAAAAGGAAACATAGATAGCTATCTCCAGTCAAGGTTAATTTCTAAGAGGGGAGGGCAAAAGGGGGGGTGAAAGGGAGATGGTTATGCAGGGGGTGGGGGGGTTATACAAGCAAGAATCACTCCATGTATGTCTTCTTTTTTTAAAGAGGGAGGGGAGATTGACAACTGCGTAATTCAAATGGCATTAGTGCAAAACTCCAGTCCAGCAATATATCATAATTATTATTACATTCATTGGGGAACACAAGCAGATATATTTATACCAGAGTCGCTGTACTGCGTAGAGATTGTGCGCCTGAACACTGCAGAGGGGAGGGAGATGGAGATCAAGACAACAGTTTGTAGACCGAATTATGATGACATAATAGTTAGCAGACACATCGGCATGTAAGGAAGAACTCGGGTTAATTTGTTTGAAAATACCAGCTTGGCAACGTACGGTCCGAGAACATAAATAAGGTTATGGTTTAATCGGGATACAGAGCAGTCATTAGCGGTGTACACTACTTCGTAATTCTATTACAAGTATTCCAAACTTCATTATGCACAGGGTGTCACAAGCCGGTTTCGTGGCACATCCAATTGAACGTAGAAATAAGTCGAATATACGCTAAACGGCAACAGAGGATGAAAAAATAAAAGTAAGTAAGTAATGATATAAGCATGAAAAACAAGAGATACATACGTAAAAATATATTATGTGAATTCTAAAAAACTGTCAATACGTTAAACGGTAACGTAAAAAAAAATAATCAAAAGTACAAGTTATTTATATCCATACTGTTTCCATTCATTGTTCGTCGCTCTCTAGCAAGGTAAGTGCCCCCCGACTCTACAGTTGGCGTGCCGATAAAAAAAAGAGTCTTCTTGTTCAAACCATGTCTCAAATCAATGGTATATATAGTAATGATTTTTTCAAAAACATAAACGACTGTTTTTACTCTCAAATTTTTACAACGAATCTTTAACATCAACCATAAAGTAAAACCAGGCTGTGAACTAATGTGAAAACAAACAGCGTGTGTCCCTCACGCTCATATTATGACCGTATATTAGAGTTGCTAGTGCCGTAAAACCACTGACCTAAAAGATATCTATATCTTTTTAGGTCAGTGCGTAAAACTCTTCCCAAACAACAGAGGCCATACCTTTTCCTATAGGGGGTAAGGAGAGATTGTGCTGGGTGGTCTCACGACTGACGTCCCTGATGGGCGAGAGGGCGTGTCGGATGGGCGGGAGGTGGGGCACACTGGACGACTCAGAGGCCGTGCTCCCACTCTCCTTGAAGGCAACGACTGGAACCCCTCCCATGTACTCCTTCTCAGACTCTGCACCGGCTTCAGCTGGCCAAGACTGGCGATGATAGGCTGGAAGAAAAGAAGAAAAAAGAAAGAGACGTTCGTCACGTCTGTAAATCTACCTCAATCTTCAGTAAATCTATCTAAAAATTCTGTACATCTATCTCTACAAATCTGTAAAGTTATTTGAAAATTATATTAAATCTATTTCAATCAGTACAGTCTATATTAATCCAGCCCGCACTGACTGATCTTACTGTACGGTCATTCGTTTATTCAGACGATTCTTCTTTAATGTGTTCCACATTTGGAACAAATATGGTCTGCTTTTATCCTGTGACAGGGGTTCCATATCTAAAGTCCAAAATGGAAAGCAAAAAATGCGTGCATTGACCAGCAAGGTGTGACGGCAAAAGTTTAATAGACTCCTCCATTATTCAAATCATGGGCAAAATTTTTTTTTTTTATTTCATGCATAGGTCACGGTGATATACCTGAAATTCTACAGGAAACAGGGGCTCTAGATTCGCAAAGTGCGTCAAGTGAGTTCTCAAAGGATTGCTCAAGTAGGCGTCTATCGCTTACTCATTTTCGGGAGATATATTAAAAATGTGATATGGTATAGGTTTTATGCCCTATCAATAATATTAGGTTATTTAAGAGGCGGAACCGGAACTCTGAGATTAACGTCCATCTACGAAATAACCAACCAAAATGGAAAATTCATGTAAAGTGCCTTTCCCAAGGACAAAACATCTGATCGAGCTGAGGCTCGAACCCTGAACCCACAATCTCACCATTACGGATCCAGTATCCAAGTTATTTAAGAGGCGGAACCTCCGAGTTTAACGTCCATCTCCGAAAGGATCGAGCGAAATGGAAAATTCGTGTAAACTGCCTTCCCCAAGGAAACATAGCGTCTGATCGAGTTGAGGTTCAAATCCCCCGAACCCGGAATCACACGATTACGGGTCCTGTAGCCAAACCACAAGACTACTGACGAAACGTAAGATGATTTTTTCAAAGTCCCAAAGAACCCACTCATTGCCATCCCCATACGCCGAGGTAGCCAGGGCTATAAATAGTCGGCTGTCCCAGCCAGAGACCAAACCGTACCCCTCATCATTCTCCCAAAGGTTTCTTTTTTTTTTTTAACTCATCAGTTCAGGGGTGGCATAATATTTAGTTTTATTTTCTTTCCAGATGTCTTTCGTATCGATCCGTTTATCGACTGTCTGGCCTGAAGGGAAAATAATTGATCCCCTCCCCTGAACCCCAGCAGTATGCCACCCGCTTTTGAAATCCCATAAACATGTCTAGTATATCATTAAACCCCCCAAAATAAATCAAACAAGTATTTTAGTAAGAGTGAAGGTGGAACAATCGCCACGGTTTTCCCGTTGCAGAAAGAAGCTATTTATTATTTAGTCTTCTAAACTGATGTTGTGTTTCACTCAGCCAGGGTTGGTCCTGACAGACAGATCTGAAGCATACTGCCTTCTATACGGTCGCTTTAAAGGACAAGCGGGCTAACCCAGATTTCGGAGGTTTCCCGGATAATTTTGACCTACACCAATTAAAGTGGGTAATTTTGGTTTCTCTGGTGCGTATTGTTGTTTGGTTATAGAGGAAACTCTCTTTGTCTTTTAAAGAAACTGAATAAGGGGCAAAAACTTTACCTTCGATTTTCTCAAAACATAATTTTTCGGGATAACCCACTTGTGCTTAAAAGCGACTATTGTATCATTCAAAGACTGTCGATCGGGGCGCAATCCTTTTTTTTAAACACACATCAATTATTTTTCATAATTCTTCGTTTCGTCTTTTCATATTCTTCACCTATTTCTATTGTACAGCTGTATTATCTTACCTTTCGGACATGACTTGGAACGATTAGACAAAACCAACTTGCGCGAGCATTCCCTAGCGGTGTACTCGTTTTCGTCCAATAGCTTCGCTCCATTACTCGTTTTCCTCCCACATTTGCAACATGTATAATGTAACCGATTACAGTTCCATACCTATAATCGATCTCTCTCTCTCTCTCTCTCTCTCTCTCTCTCTCTCT